ATGATGAAGTCAACATATGTACTAATGTGCTGGACACAAATGATGTATGTACGGATTGTGATGAGTTGTATGAGCCCCTAATAAAATGATTATTTAATTTAAAAAAATTATTGTCTCAGGAACCCATAGGGGTAGTTCTACCCTCTCCTACTGGGTCCTTATGAGTCACTGTCAACTCGATGGCAGGGAGGATTTAAAACTTTTTTTTAATCTCTTTTCACTGAAGCAGTGTGCTAGGTCTTTCTGCCGTGGAGTGACAGGGTGGGTTCGAACCACCAACCCTCAGGCTAACTGCCGATCACAAATGGTGTGTGCTGGGTATCATCATGTGCTTCACATGTGGTGCTCTGCAGTGTCTAGGCGCTTGACATGCAGCAGCCCCTTCTGTGCACACACACACCACGACTGCAGCTACTGTTTGTCCTCACCTCCGTTGTCCTGCCGAGGAGGTGGGGGCACAGAGAGGTGCAGTGGTTTACCCTGGGTCCTACAGCTCACCCCTGACAGAAGCCAGCTTTCACCGAGGCTCTCGGGCTCATTTCAGTGGGCCTCAGATCTCTCATCTACAAAATGAGAAAAATGAATGTCTTTCTCCTAGAGGTATTTGGAGATAGGTGAGCTCAGTCTAGCCAGAAATGTAAACCAGTTACAATGGGACTCTGTCAGACAGACATAACACAGAGAAGGAAACAATGAGATCTGCCTGTGGGTGGCTGTCTGGAACAAAGAGGAAGTGACCTTTGAAATGACCCTGGACCAGAGCAAAGCCTCCGAGACCTGGACCATATATGGCAATTCATGTGGGGACCCTGGAGATGTCATGGTGGAAGGGTATTGGCTGGAGAGGGGCTAGGGGTCCAGCTGGTGACCCCAGCTGGTGATGGGTTTAAATTCTTCGGATTCTGTCACTTCCTGGTGGGTGACGTTTAAGCCTCAGTTCCCTCACAAACTGCTCCTACCATGCCAGGGACCAAGTCTGGGGACTGTGAATATCGCTGCCATCTGATTCACATCGACCCTCTCCTTCCCTGTGCCCTGGTTCTTTCTAGTGTAGGAGAGCGCCTAGCAAGGCTCCTGGGCTGAACCGCAAACCTGCAGAATCAGGATCTCCTGGGGGCGTGGTCCGGAATCCACAAGTCCACCAAAGAAACCCACCCTTTCCTCTGTGTTTGCTCTCTGTGGATGTACTAGACGGTTTCCTGCCTTCAGACAGACACTGCTGCTAAACCCTGCATTCCAGGAAGGCAGGGCGAATGTCTCTTATTTACCCTCCGGTCTCCAGCCTCTACCACAGGCCTGGCACCTAGTAGGCACTTCATGTTATTGACATGGTTTTTTTTCTTTTTCATCGTTTTATTAGGGGCTCATACGACTCTTATCACAATCCATACGTACATCAATTGTGTAAAGCACATTTGTACATTCATTGCCCTCGTATTGACATGATTTTTAACTCGCCTCGCAGCTTCTGTAGATCCCTGGGTGATGCAGGGTGTTGATTTGCACTCTGCTAACCTAAAGGTCACCCACCGGTCGAACTCACAGTGAGACCACGGAAAGACCCAAACCAAAGTCACAGCTTTGGAGCCGATACCGACTCCTCGAGAACACACAGGACAGGCCAACCTGCCTGGTGGGTTCCCAAGACTGGGACATCTTACGGGAGAAGAAAGCCCGGTCATTCTCCCGAGGAGTAGCTGGTGGGTTTGA